GGCTCCGAAGTGCGATTTGAAGCCAATGGTGTGAAAGAATCGGCAGTGTTACATGTGCAAGGTGAGTTGTTAACTGGTCCCGAGAACAGATCAGTATTTAGAAACTCAGAAACTATTACATGTGTTTATTTATTAAATTTATATGTTGCCCATCTCACTGTTGAAGCTACACGATGGTACCTACATTCTAAGAACAGAAAGAGGACAGAGTTATGGCTGTAATATACAGTAAAAAACAGAGATCAGCAAATCCCTCTGTTTTCCTGTTTTCAAAGAGTAAAAAAATAATCCAGACTGATGCTTGGATATAAAAGGCATTTTCCCCTAGTAGCAATAGCACTTAAACTTACAGTATATACCTCTCCATAGCGCTTTGCAGCCCTCTCTGAGTGGTTTACAGAGTCAGCATATTTCCCCCAGCAATCTGGGTCCTCAACTTTACTGCCCTCAGAAGGATGGAAGGCTGAGTCAACCTTGAGCTGTTTAGGATCGAACTCCTGGCTGGAGGCACTTAGCTTGCAATACTGCATTCTAACCAATGCACCACCATTGCTCATTTTATGGTTAGTCTAATTAGAAGTAACACCCATCACTGTGGTTTTCAAATTGAACAAACAAAATACCGTGAGATCCAATAGTGTATCTCTGTCTGAGGTCTGACTTGCCAAGCTGGTCCATGCTTTTTCCCACTTGCCAAGCTGGTCCATGCTTGTCCCTTGCTTGCAACTATGATGCATTTAGCTGCAAAGGCTATGTGAGAAACTCGGTGTTTACATTTACTGTATGTTTGCCTTCTTTGAATGACAAATAGTGCAAAGCTTCAGGTACATCCCAGCATATACAGTATGTAAGAGTTTCCTAGGTGGCTTGGAAAATGGTCAATGCTTATGTATAGATTTTACTTGCAAAAGTATTGCTTTCAGCCCCACAGGTACATATTACTCCAGTGCCTGAGGCCAGGCGGCTCCGAACCCTTCTTCCTGGGATGCCTCTGCTTCTGGAATGTGAGGTTTCCATGCCTGATGCCCCTGTCTGCTGGCTCAAAGATGGGAACCCTATAGCCTTGGATGATGGTGCTTGTGTCCAATCAGAAGGGTGCATTCATAAGCTGTCGATTCCCTCTGTCCGCTCTTTGGACTCTGGGACGTATACATGTGATGCTAGGGACGATGCCATCAACTTCACTGTCACTGTAGAAGGTAAATGGGAAAAAAAACCACTTGATTTTAGTGGGGAGGTTTTGTTATGACCCAGATGGTCAAGGCCTTTAGAGAGTCCTTTATTGCTCTCAATAATATTCCAGCAAACCGCCCCCCAACAACTGGTAAAGCTCACTCTATCCTGAAGACAACCACCCTCAGTCCCCCAAACAGCAGCCCCTATATTACAAAGTAAGTCCACGGAGTAAGAGCACGCTCACAGGGTAAGGTCCAGGGTTCCAAATCCAGTCCATCTGGTTAAATGAGTCCACAAATCACACTGTAGTCCACAAGGTAAAGTCAAGGCACAAGAGAAATGGCAGTCCTCAGGGCAAAGATAAGACGCAAGCAAAGGCAGTTCTAAAGGCAGAGCAAAGCAAACCGCAAATAGCAGTCCACAAGACAAGGGCAAAGTCCAAAACACAAGGCAGAAGGCAGTCCTCCTGGCGAGGCACAGCAAGTGGCGAAAAGCAGGCTTCAAGATGCAAAAGGCACAAGTCAAAACTGGGGGAGTGTAAGCCAAAACAAACATTTGTTCCTGGCAAAGACTCAGTCCCCACAGCTTCTCCTTAAGTCACTCCATTCCAGGTGTTCCTTGTGAGGAGGGGCGGGGTGACCTTCTCCCAAATAGCCTCGCAGCCTTTCTCTGAGCTTGCCTTCCCTTTGCTCTCCGTGCCCTTGGATTGAGTGGAGGAGGCAGCTGTTCCTCATCAGAGTGGATCTGCTGCCTATTAGCAGCACTGCCTGTCAGCAGCCGAACCTCCCCTGTGTCTGTGAAGGCAGGCAGTTCTCTATCTGGTCGACCACCTCCCCCAATGCCTGAGGGGCCTGGGACAAACATGCCAAGGGAGACATGCCATCCCTGTAGGACGGTCCCGGTTCCAACTCCTCCTCCTCCTCTGAACCAGGCTCCGATGGGGCCATAACAGGTTCACAGTGTAAAAGTGCACCTCCTTTTATGGAGTTTAGTGCCAAAGATAAACTACTTGATGCTCCATAAGCTTTTGAATATAGTTGATCCCACATAAAATAATATCCATAGTTTTCTGCCATTCGACTATTAGAGTTTAGCCTGTAATCAGATCCTTTCTTTCCAAATCTGGAAATTCAGTAATGATTCTGAACTTGGTAGCATTTGGTCCCTTCACCATATTTCTCTCCCCCCATCCACCACAGAACCTCCTGTGAAGGTTGTTCATTCCAATTCCAAAGAAGCTCACAACTACAAAGTTGCGGATCGTGTGGTGCTATCCTGTGAGTTATCCCACCCTGATGTCAATGTGCGTTGGTATAAGGATGGAGAAACTGTGAAAGAAAGCAAGGACCTCCTGATGGAAAACATAGGACCTCACCACCATTTGATAATCCCCTCAGCCCAGGTGCCAGATACAGGGGAATTTGTATGTGACATTGGTAGAGAGTCTGTCTTTTTCAACATCATTGTTGCAGGTCAGTAGCCTCTCTAGATGACAGATCACAGTCTAATTTTATTCTTGTTGTTGTTGTTGTTGTTGTTAATTATGAAGTCATGTCTGACCCATCGTGACCCCCATGGACAACGTTCCTCCAGGTCTTCCTGTCCTCTACCATCTTCTGGAGTCCATTTAAGTTCACGCCTACTGCTTCAGTGACTCCATCCAGCCACCTCATTCTCTGTCGTCCCCTTCTTCTATTGCCCTCAATCTTTCCCAGCATTAGGCCCTTCTCCAGTGAGTCCTTCCTTCTCATTAGGTGGCCAAAGTATTTNGGCTCCGAAGTGCGATTTGAAGCCAATGGTGTGAAAGAATCGGCAGTGTTACATGTGCAAGGTGAGTTGTTAACTGGTCCCGAGAACAGATCAGTATTTAGAAACTCAGAAACTATTACATGTGTTTATTTATTAAATTTATATGTTGCCCATCTCACTGTTGAAGCTACACGATGGTACCTACATTCTAAGAACAGAAGGAGGACAGAGTTATGGCTGTAATATACAGTAAAAAACAGAGATCAGCAAATCCCTCTGTTTTCCTGTTTTCAAAGAGTAAAAAAATAATCCAGACTGATGCTTGGATATAAAAGGCATTTTCCCCTAGTAGCAATAGCACTTAAACTTACAGTATATACTGCTCCATAGCGCTTTGCAGCCCTCTCTGAGTGGTTTACAGAGTCAGTATATTTCCCCCAGCAATCTGGGTCCTCAACTTTACTGCCCTCAGAAGGATGGAAGGCTGAGTCAACCTTGAGCTGTTTAGGATCGAACTCCTGGCTGGAGGCACTTAGCTTGCAATACTGCATTCTAACCAATGCACCACCATTGCTCATTTTATGGTTAGTCTAATTAGAAGTAACACCCATCACTGTGGTTTTCAAATTGAACAAACAAAATACTGTGAGATCCAATAGTGTATCTCTGTCTGAGGTCTGACTTGCCAAGCTGGTCCATGCTTTTTCCCACTTGCCAAGCTGGTCCATGCTTGTCCCTTGCTTGCAACTATGATGCATTTAGCTGCAAAGGCTATGTGAGAAACTCGGTGTTTACATTTACTGTATGTTTGCCTTCTTTGAATGACAAATAGTGCAAAGCGTCAGGTACATCCCAGCATATACAGTATGTAAGAGTTTCCTAGGTGGCTTGGAAAATGGTCAATGCTTATGTATAGATTTTACTTGCAAAAGTATTGCTTTCAGCCCCACAGGTACATATTACTCCAGTGCCTGAGGCCAGGCGTCTCCGAACCCTTCTTCCTGGGATGCCTCTGCTTCTGGAATGTGAGGTTTCCATGCCTGATGCCCCTGTCTGCTGGCTCAAAGATGGGAACCCTATAGCCTTGGATGATGGTGCTTGTGTCCAATCAGAAGGGTGCATTCATAAGCTGTCGATTCCCTCTGTCCGCTCTTTGGACTCTGGGACGTATACATGTGATGCTAGGGACGATGCCATCAACTTCACTGTCACTGTAGAAGGTAAATGGAAAAAAAAAACCACTTGATTTTAGTGGGGAGGTTTTGTTATGACCCAGTCAGGGGTAGTCAACCTTGGCTCTTTTATGACTCGTGGACTTCAACTCCCAGAATTCCTGAGCCAGCTGTGCTAGCTCAGGAATTCTGGGAGTTGAAGTCCACGAGTCATAAAAGAGCCAAGGTTGACTACCCCTGACCCAGGTGGTCAAGGCAAGGCAGGCCTTTAGAGAGTCCTTTATTGCTCTCAATAATGTTCCAGCAAATGGCCCTCCAACAACCGGTAAAGCTCACTCCCACGCTATCCTGAAGACAACCACCCTCAGTCCCCCAAACAGCAGCCCCTATATTACAAAGTAAGTCCACAGAGTAAGAGCACAGGGTAAGGTCCAGGGTTCCAAATCCAGTCCATCTGGTTAAATGAGTCCACGAATCATACTGTAGTCCATGAGGTAAAGTCAAGGCACAAGAGAAATGGCAGTCCTCAGGGCAAAGATAGGATGCAAGCAAAGGCAGTTCTAAAGGCAGAGCAAAGCAAACCGCAAATAGCAGTCCACAAGACAAGGGCTGAGTCCAAAACACAAAAGGCAGAAGGCAGTCCTCCTGGCTAGGCACAGCAAGTGGCGAAAAGCAGGCTTCAAGGCAAGGCAAGATGCAAAAGGCACAAGTCAAAACTGGAGGAGTGTAAGCCAAAACAAACATTTGTTCCTGGCAAAGACTCAGTCCCCACAGCTTCTCCTTAAGTCACTCCATTCCAGGTGTTCCTTGTGAGGAGGGGCGGGGTGACCTTCTCCCAAATAGCCTCGCAGCCTTTCTCTGCGCTTGCCTTCCCTTTGCTCTCCGTGCCCTTGGATTGAGTGGAGGAGGCAGCTGTTCCTCATCAGAGTGGATCTGCTGCCTATTAGCAGCACTGCCTGTCAGCAGCCGAACCTCCCCTGTGTCTGTGAAGGCAGGCAGTTCTCTATCTGGTCGACCACCTCCCCCAATGCCTGAGGGCCCTGAGACAAACATGCCAAGGGAGACATGCCATCCCTGTGGGACGGTCCCGGTTCCAACTCCTCCTCCTCCTCTGAACCAGGCTCCGATGGGGCCATAACAGGTTCATAGTGTAAAAGTCCACCTCCTTTTATGGAGTTTAGTGCCAAAGATAAACTACTTGATGCTCCATAAGCTTTTGAATATAGTTGATCCCACATAAAATAATATCCATAGTTTTCTGCCATTCGACTATTAGAGTTTAGCCTGTAATCAGATCCTTTCTTTCCAAATCTGGAAATTCAGTAATGATTCTGAACTTGGTAGCATTTGGTCCCTTCACCATATTTCTCTCCCCCCCATCCACCACAGAACCTCCTGTGAAGGTTGTTCATTCCAATTCCAAAGAAGCTCACAACTACAAAGTTGCGGATCGTGTGGTGCTATCCTGTGAGTTATCCCACCCTGATGTCAATGTGCGTTGGTATAAGGATGGAGAAACTGTGAAAGAAAGCAAGGACCTCCTGATGGAAAACATAGGACCTCACCACCATTTGATAATCCCCTCAGCCCAGGTGGCGGATACAGGGGAATTTGTATGTGACATTGGTAGAGAGTCTGTCTTTTTCAACATCATTGTTGCAGGTCAGTAGCCTCTCTAGATGACAGATCACAGTCTAATTTTATCCTTGTTGTTGTTGTTGTTGTTGTTGTTAATTATGAAGTCATGTCTGACCCATTGTGACCCCATGGACAATGTTCCTGTCCTCTACCATCTTCTGGAGTCCATTTAAGTTCACGCCTACTGCTTCAATGACTCCATCCAGCCACCTCATTCTCTGTCGTCCCCTTCTTCTATTGCCCTCAATCTTTCCCAGCATTAGGCCCTTCTCCAGTGAGTCCTTCCTTCTCATTAGGTGGCCAAAGTATTTGAGTTTCAACTTCAGGATCTGGCCTTCTAAAGAGCAGTCGGGGTTGATCTCTTCTAGGACTGACCGGTTTGAATGCCTTGCNGAGGAAAACCAGGGCCTCTTGCTGGAGAACGAGGGCCCACACTGCCGGCTGATGCTTGTCTCTGCCCAAGTTCAAGATACAGGAGAGTTTGTCTGTGATGCAGGTGATGACTCTGCCTTCTTCAACATCACTGTCAGAGGTTAGAAATAGCCCTTCGGAACATACCTTATTTATTTATGTAGAATTACTTCTTGTTTTTCAACTTTCTTCAGTTGGACTCAAGATACAGTACGTGAGGTTCCCTAAAGCAGTTTTTTTCAAGCTGCAGATGAATTAGGCCTGCAATTCCTAGAAAACTCAGCATTTCTAAGATTGGGGAAAGCTGGAAAATGAAATCTTCCTACCAACCACTGGGCAGACAGCCCAGTTCTGTTTTGCTTTGGTAAAGAGAAATGTTTTGGTTGTTTATTCCTCTCTCACAGGAGAGTTGGGCTATACCTTTGTTTGTTTTATGTTACTTTTCTGGGTTTGTGATACTCGGAGGCACTTGTGATTTGTTATACCTCAAAAAGTTGGTTTTTATTCAATAGAATTGTGGTGACTTCAACTATAGAGATGATAACTTTGATAAATATTAAATTAAAATTCCGGGTGTTTATCCTCATTGGAAGGAAGTTCAAGAAAGGATCATGCAAGCTGTCCCAGGAAATCTCCTCTGGAAGTGGCTGATTGTGCTTGTCTCTTTATCAGTCATGCGTACATGATACAATCTTACCTGATGCAGAGATGTGGCACAACATCACACTGTGCTATAAAGGTGGTTTGATCCAGGCTAGAAAACTCTTCTAATTAATGACCCTTCTGTTATGAAAAAAATGGTCAAGTGGTTAAGGCATCAGTCTAGAAACCAGGAGGCTGTGAGTTCTAGTCTTGCTGTAGATATGAAAGGGTGACTGGTCCATTCACTTACTCTCTCAGTCTAACCCACCTTACAGTATTGTTGTTGCTGTAGGGAGGAGGAAAGAATATTATATATGTTCGCTGCCTTGAGCTATTTAAAAATAACAATAACGGTGGGATGAAAATAAATAAAATATCTGAAGCTGCATTAGGCTGAGATATATTTTTGTTTTAGTCTGCCTAGTGTAGTGATGATGAGCCTTTTGGACTTGGTATGTCAAAAATTCAGAAAATATCTTCCTTGACTCTACTGGGATGTCTTACACACTCACACACATAGACACATACCTGGACAGACAGACAGTCAAAGGAGGCCTCTCCAGTTCTCTCCTCTCTTCTCCAAAAAAGGGAAAACAATGGTTCCAGGAAACTACAGACCTATCAGCCTGACTTCAATACCTGGGAAGATTCTGGAAAAGATGAGCAACAAATCAGCGAACACCTAGAGGCAAACAAAGTCATAACCAAATGCCAACATGGGTTTGTCAAAAACAGATTATGCCAGACAAATCTTACTGCATTCTTTGACAAGGTGACGAAATTAGTGGAACAATGAAATGCTGTGGATATAATGTACTTGGACTTCAGTAAGGCATTTGATAAAGTAGACCACAATCTACTACTTGAAAAGATAGAAAAATATGGATTAGACAGCATCACCACCAGATGGATTTGTGACTGGCTGACCAACCACACTCAGCATGTAATCCTTAATGCATCTACATGGAGGGAAATATGCAATGCAGTATCCCAAGGCTCTGTCTTAGGCCCAGCACTCTTCAACATCTTCATCAATGATTTGGATGAGGGGATAGATGGGGAACTCATCAAATTTGCAGACGACACCAAGCTGGCAGGAATAGCCAACACTCCAGAAGACAGGCTTAGGATACAGGAGGATCTGGACAGACTTGAACACTGGGCGCTATCTAACAAAATGAAATTCAATGGTGAAAAAAGTAAGGTTCTACATTTAGGCAAGAAAAACCAAATATACAGGTATAGTATAGGGGGTACCTTGCTCAATAGTAGTAACTGTGAGAGGGATCTCGGAGTCCTAATGGACAATCATTTAGATATGAGCCAGCAGTGTGCTGCAGTTGCCAAAAAAGCCAACACAGTGCTGGGCTGCATTAACAGAGGGATAGAATCAAGATCACATGAAATGTTAATACCACTTTATAATGTCTTGATAAGGCCATACTTGGAATACTGCATCCAGGTTTGGTCACCACAATGTAAAAAAGACATTGAGACTCTAGAAAATGCACAGAGAAGAGCAACAAAGATGATTAGGGGATTGGAGGCTAAAACATATGAAGAATGATTGCTGAAATTGGATATGCCTAGTTTAATGAAGAGAAGGACTAAGGGTGACATGATAGCAGTGTTCCAATATCTCAGGGGTTGCCACAAAGAAGAGGGAGTCAAGTTATTCTCCAAAGCACCTGAAGGCAGGACAAGAAGCAACAGATGGAAACTAATCAAGGAGAGAAACCAATCTAGAACTAAGGAGAAATTTCCTGACAATTAAAACAATCAGTGGAACAACTTGCCTCCAGAAGTTGTGAATGCTTCAACACTGGAAGTTTTTAAGAAGAGACTGGACAATCATTTGTATGAAATGGCTTAAGGGGTTGAGCTAGAAGACTTCCAAGGTCCCTTCCTTAGGGGTTGAGCTAGAAGACTTCCAAGGTCCCTTCCAACTTTGTTACTCTGTTATTATTCTCTGAACAAACTCTCTGGAAGTCACCAAAGAAAGCCCTGCTCTTGCGAGGGTTGTGGAGCCTCCGAAAATCAAGTGAGAATGGTAACCTGATTTTTGGAGGCCTTGGAGACTGTATGAGAGCACTTTTTTTTCCTGTAACTTTCAGTGAGTCAGAAGGCCTGGTGTGTCACTAAAAATGACATGGTGTGTTATAAGTTTGCCAACACCTCTCTAATGCAATATATCTTAAGCAAATTGGCAACTCTTCAGAGCTTCATACTGCCCTAACTAAAGATGCCAGGGTTTAAAACGGAAGATTGTCAGACAAAATAGGTTTACTGCTACTGAATTGTGGCCTTTTCCCCTCACATTTGGTGTCCTTCCTGTTCCAGAGCCACCTGTCCAGGTGGTGTGCTCCAATGCAGACGAGGCTCACACCTACTGGGCTTTAGAAAGAGTAAGTTTGACCTGTGAGCTGTCTCGCCCTACCGCTCTCGTGCACTGGTACAAGGATGGGAAACAAGTAGAAGAAACGGAGGGTCTGCAGCTGGAAACTGAAGGGCCTCATTGCCGCCTGATCATTGCCTCAGCCCAGGTGCAACACACAGGAGAATTTGTATGCGATGTGGGAGATGATTCTGTCCTTTTCACTGTAACTGTTTCAGGTCAGTGTGATTTGACTTTTTTTTTCTCACTTGGGGATTTAAACTGTATTTTCCTTGAAAAAAACCACAGCAGGTGATTACGCCCAGCTAAGCCTGGCTGACTCAAGTTGGGTTAGACATATTTCAGATTTAGATGGGGAACCACAGGGAAATCCTAGGGTTTACTAGGAAGCTGCATAAACAACCCAGATGAAGGGATTAACAAACCATTTCCACTCTGTTGCTAAGAAAGTAATGTACAGTAGGTGTGTCGTGTCCACAAGATTTAAGTTTGATTTGAAGGAGACTACCTTAAAAAAAAAAATCTGTAGTGCATGCCACTTTAGAGAGCTATTGTGTTCTGGAATTCAGACAGGGCTGGGCATTTTTGTAATGATCATAGTTGCATCTCTGATTTAATTCACCAGACTCAAGGGAGCTGATGCTGCAGGAGGTTTCAGCCATCTTCCTCTTTTCCCAGGCATTTAGTGGACATGGCCGAGCAGATTACAGCAGGGGTCATCTTCTTTAGCTTTCTCCTTTGAAATTGCTGTCATTTCTTTCCTACATTCACTTTACTTGTGGCTGAATCACGACAGATACTTTTCTCCACACTTTAGAATGATGTGTTGGGTTCTTGGTGCTCCCTGAGCTTGGTTGTTTTCCAGCAGATGTTTCCATTACCAGGCTCAGTAACAAAATGGTCAAATCAGCTGTCATTGGACAGAGAGAGATAAACCTCATTTACATGCCATTAATTGATGCAACCAAAAGTCATGGAAAGAAACAATCAGCTCATGACGCATCCTCCCCAGCAATTGACACCCAGATAAGCAGGAAGTAGCACTAGATAAGCAATCAGGAGAAAAGAACATCCTAATCAAGGAACAATCAAAGAAGAAACCATGCTCCAACAGCAAGACTGGCAGGGCAAGGTATATATATATAAACAGCCAGCAAGCCCCACTCTCCTTCACACTGTTGGTACTACTATCTAGCCTGATTATGAGACATCTGCAGGAAAACAACCAAGCTCAGAAACCACCAAGAATCCAGCAGTTCAACCTTGAGCTGCATAGATTCTCTATTATTGGGGCTTTGATTTGCTGAAAGGGTTGGATGGACTGTTATCTCATGAAGGTTGGTTTTGTAGTGATAATTCTGTGGTTTCCCTGGATTTGTGGCTATGGTTTAACTTTTAAGGTCATCTTTGCTGTGTCAAGTGAGACATTTGGGACTTTAGTTGTGGACATCCAGTACCTGGAGCAGGGGGACCTTATGTCGGCAACTTCTTTCCTCATCCTTGTGGGTCAGGACTACTGGTACTGTGTAAAGCACTCTTCGTAGGGCTGTTTCTGAAGACAACATACCGGTAGAAGCTATGCAGCGAGTGGTCCAGAATGCAGCAACCTGTTTTTAGCTTGTGGATCTCAATATTAGCATAGTCTGAGACTTTCCCTGGCTTTCTGTTGGCTTCTGGGTGCAACTCCAAGGGCTTATTTTGGCCTTAAACCCTTTTATGGCTTAACGCCAAGGTACCTGAACTACTGACCTCTCCAGCCTGATTCAATCCACCTCAAAAACAAACCAAATAAAAGAATAGCTTTCAAAGCAGTTTGTTGGCAATTCTGCCTAATTGACATAGAGCTAGATTGCCTGCCACATAAAAATTACATTGTCATAGGGCTCAACTATAATGAGATATCTGCTTATTCCATTTATTCCCCATTTATGTAATAGTTTTTGTCATACTAAGAACAATCATTCATCGGATCCAAATGTGAGGGATCCAGATTTGATCTAGACTTTTTGAAGATCTAATCAGATCTGTGCAGAAATGTCAGTTAGTCTTTTTATCCAATTGGACTACCAGATCTCAAATGTTAAAAAAAATCAGATTTGCTTATTAATTTGCATATTTTACAGTATTTAGCTCCAAATATCTTTAGTGCTCCATCTCTCAATTTTATGTATATTTGTCTGCTCTAGATTACTAATCACTCTGAGCCATAATGACAAGCTTTGCATGACACTTAAGCCAGGCAAAATGGAGATAGGTAGTTTTTGATTCAGCATGTTGTAGGAACTCAGCCCTTACCTTAATATGTTGTCTGAATCAGATTTATTTATTTGGGTGTAATGTATTCTGACAGTGCTGCAGTTGTAATTTAAAAGTCCTTGTTAAGGGTTAAGCATACTATGAGAACACATTAAATGTAGGTTGTTCAATTTTTACTCAGAATGTATGCTTAATTGTGTATAAATTAATTATAGTTTGTAAATAATGATTTACAACAATACAGGAACCCGACCAACATGTCCTATATTGGGTTTCAAACTCATTGCAGCAGGCATCTCTTCTCTTATACTGATAAAAAGCCAAACTTGTAGATAGATAAATAAGCTTAATTTGCAGCAAAACGCTTCCATTTCAGTTCCAGGTGTGTGCGCGCATGTAAGTAAGTTTCAGGGAAGGGGAGAACACGTTTCATAGTCCTATTTCTACTGATCCTCATTCATAGAATGTATTCTCTTCCCATAGACCATCCCGTGAGGATCATACACTCCAATGACGAAGAGAGCCACGCCTATCAGGTTGCAGAACGTGTAGAATTGTCCTGTGAGCTTTCTCGTCCTGATGGCCCTGTACATTGGTACAAGGATGGAGAAGAGGTGGAAGAAAATGAGGGGCTCCTGCTGGAGAGTGAGGGCCCCAACCGTCGGCTGGTCATTCCTTCAGTTCAAGTACAAGATTCTGGGGAGTTTGTGTGTGATGCAGGTGGCGATTCGGCATTCTTCAACATTACCGTCACAGGCAAGAGAATTATTTTTTCTTACTGAGCAAAGGCCAACTTCATGTTCTTTCATTTCTTCCCCCTGCCAAGTACCTTCTGGGGGGGATTGGCTTACAGCTCTTAGAATTTACATTTCACAGAAGCAAAGTTTGTGTTTGGTTGGGAGTTATGGAAATTAAAGTCTAGTTTACAGTGGTTCTCAACCTATGGGTTGCGACCCCATTTGGGGTCGATCGACCATTTCACGGGGGTCGCCAAGCAAGGCTGTCCGCCATTTTTTTCCCCTTTTCCAGTGGGTGCCTTACCTCCCTTGGGCTGGGCCAGCTGGTGGTCGGCCTGCTCCGTCTCTGCCACTTGCCAGCTACTCCTCGGCTGGCACAGGGGGCGGACCCATGCATGCGCGGCGCTCCCGGGCAGGGAAAGTCCTCGACTTACGACCGGTTGGGTAGTCCTCGACTTACGACCGGTTTAGTCCTCGACTTACGATCGGTTTAGTCCTCGACTTACGACCGGTTGGGGTCGCGGCATTAAAAAGGTTGAGAACCACTGGTCTAGTACATCTAGAGCAGGGGTAGGCAACCTTGGCTCTTTTATGACTTGTGGACTTCAACTCCCAGAATTCCTAAGCCAGGCTGGCTCAGGAATTCTGGGAGTTGAAGTCCACGAGTCATAAAAGAGCCAAGGTTGCCTACCCCTGCTCTAGAGGGCTCTGTGTGATGTGAGCTGCTGCACACCAAGTTGTTTCAAAGGCTCCATGGGTGCATTTTGGTCCGAAGGAGAGCTGAATTGGTCCCTGGCCCACTTATACAGTGCCGTGTTTCTGATGAATGATTAAACAGAAGCACAACAGGGACTTTGTGAATGAGCAGAGCAGTTGTGCTTTCCATGTTCCATTCTTAGCTTCAGGTAATTGGTGGTCACTCAGAGATATAATGACTATGAATGTAGGGCTTGCACAGTAAGCTGTTCTGCGTCATAAAACAGCCTATCATCCACTGGTTATCTAATCCTTCCACAAGACTGTTTATGTTAGGTGCCCCGCCGTCACAACAACCCTTGTCAATTAATATCACAAACTGATTATGCCTTGTGAAAGGCAATTCTTCCCTTTGTTTTCTCAAGCCTCCTGCTTCCTAATGGTTTCAGAGGATGATCTTCAATTTTTATGTTATGGGAAGGGATGAATATTTTCTCTAATATTTTATCTCCCTTTCCGCTTCACATAAAACAACTTTCAGAACACAAACATTGCCCTGGTGCACCAATTCCTCTTTCCTCCTGGGTTTTGTTCTGGTGCTTTCTACTCAACTACAAAGGATTGCAAGCAGGTCCCCACCCCCAGGTATTTTGGACTACTGTTCTCATGAACCTTTATCAGTACGGCTAGGGGTCAGGAATTGTGGGAACTGCTTTGAAAAAAATATTTGGGAGGCACTGGATAGTCCACCAGTGGGAGCCATTTTCTCTAGACCTTGAGTCTATAGGTCCACAGCCGCTCTGAAACTCATCCTGGTTTCTCTGTCTCCCTTGCTACTGCAGAACCACTTGTGCAAATTGTGCAGTCCAATGCAGAGGCTGTTCATGCTTATCAGACCTCGGACCGTGTGGTGCTGACCTGCGAGCTGTCTTGCCCCAATGCCTCCGTCCAATGGTACAAAGATGGGGAGGAATTAGAAGAAGGTGAAGGCTTGCTGTTTGAGAGTGACGGACCCCACCGACGACTCGTCCTTCCCTTAGCGCAAGTGCAAGATACTGGCGAGTTTGTGTGTGATGCAGGTGGTGACTCTGCTTTCTTCAATGTTACAGTTGTAGGTCAGTAATGTACCATGAGAGGCCCGTTAGGCCAGAGGTCCCCAACCTTTGGGGCACCAGGGACCGGTTCCGTGGAGAGAGTTTTTTCCACAACCAGTGGGTGCGTGGTTTTGTGTGCTGCCTGCATCTCGCGCATGGGGCTTTGCTTGTTTGTGTGGACCAGTTGCTGGCATGGTGTGGCCCAGTACTGGTCCACAGACCGAGGGTTGGGGACTCTTGCTTTAGGCCCATTATGATAAATTAAATATATTTGCTTTGAGTTACACTGGAAGCATGGTTCTGATTTGCCATTCAAAGGAAACAATTCCAAGCTAAACATAGCCAGTTCTCAACTTATGACCACCATGGAGACCAGAATTTCCATTGTACAGCAAGGTGGTTGTTAACTGAGTCACACCAATTTTACTACCTTTTCTCCCCATGGTTGTTAAGCAAATCACTTAGGGTTGCTAAGTTAATAACATAATTGTTAAAGTGAATCTGGCTTTCCCCCCTTGACTTTGCGTGTTGGAAGCTGGGTGGGAAGACTACAAATGGTGATCACCGATCATGTTACCTGGGGACAGTGCAACCATCATAAATACATGCCAGTTGCCAAGCATCCGAATATTGATCAGGTAATCATGAGGATGCTGCAATGGTCCTAAGTGTGAAAAATGGTCATGTTACTTTTTTTCACTCATTGTATTTTCAAACCATCACTAAATACAGAAACAGGTAGTCGAGGATTACCTGTATCTATATTTATCCACATACCTTTTTTTTTGAGGGAATGGGAGGAGAGGCAGAATAATCAACAAAAGTGCTGCAAGCAAGAATAAAAGGGATAGACTCAGATTTCTATTAATTATGCCTCTAAAGGAGGGGAGAGCAACAGGAACAGCAAAGGCCTGGGATATTAACAGGAGGAATTAAATAGTCCAAAGAGAGGTTCTGAGGCTAGAGAGACAATTGCTTACACAACCCCAGTATGAATCCTGAAGTGATGTTTTGATGTTTGCACTTCAAGGTGCCAAAAACAGCTTCCCTCATCTCACTTCCCTCTCCCATTTCTCCCTTACCTCATACTGCCTGACACGATACCATTTCCTTCTGCTATGAAATCCTGTTCTCGGGAATACATATCTAAAAAGCAACTATTTTTAAATGCAGAACCTGTTAGCTGTAATTGAATAGTCTTAGTAAGGATGGCAATTCTATCTTGGGAAGCCATGCATGAAAAAAATAAATCCAGAAAGCTATGCATGGAGAATGTCTGCCTGTCCATAAGTAGGAAAATGTTACAGCACTGCCAGGAGAAAAAAAAGATTAGTCTGTTGGTGCCCTAGCTGGTGTAGTGAATGAGGAAGATGACCTTGGTGGAGATACAGCATGCAGGAATTATTATCTTCTAGGCAAAAGGGGCTGAAATATTTGTTTAAGTATCACATTTGGTAGTAGCTCAAACAAAGACCTCCCTAATTCACTGAACTACAAGAAGGAGGAAGTACAGCACAATTCTTTTATTATAGCCATTCCCCATGAAAACACTTTTAGCCTTCCTGGGGAGTTAATTTCCTGGCTGGTTCTCCTTAGTGGGGCTGACAGCTGGGTAGATTGCATAGTCCCAGCCTCCACTGAGATTGATGATTGCATTTATAGCCTCTTGTATTTTGCCATGTTCAAGGTGGTATATATGAGGGTTTCCCCTAATGTTTTCTCTATAACAACAACTCAGTGAGGTAGATTGGAGTGAAAGAAACAGACTAACCCAAAGCCATCCAGGGAATTCAATGGCTGAGTGGAGACCTGAATCTGCATTTCCTCCATTCAGATCTTATTAAAAAAAACTTTATAATAATTATCAGAATAGCACTGGCACTCTTGGTTCCCCTCCTGGGGCTCCTGGTTCCCTTGCAACTTGTTTAGATCAGGGGTCCCCAACCCCCGGGGAACCTAGTTGGAACTGGGCTGCATGAATGGCAGATTGGCGCGCATGCATGCAGCTTGACTTGCATGAGTGTCGGGCCTGCGCACATGCATGCGCAGCTCGACTTGCGCAAGTCCAGCTGCGTGCTCATGTGCATGCCTGCCAGCCTGTTGCTTGCACAAATCAAGCTCTGTGCACGTGTGCCCCGGCCTGCTGCTCATGCAGCCCGGTTACTCTCACACACACACCCCCGCCGGGCCACCAAGCCACAAAAGTTGGAGACTGCTGGTTTAAATGATCTCTGCTTTTTACTTATTCTTTGGAGTAAAAGGTAAAGGAGTCCCTGTGGATTTTACTCCCCTAGTTGTTGCTGACTTTAGGGCAGCGGTTCTCAACCTATGGGTTGCGACCCCATTTGGGGTTGATCGACCATTTCACGGGGGTCGCCAAGCAAGGCTGTCCACCATTTTTTTGTCCGCCACTTTTTCCCCCTTTTCCGGTGGGTGCCTTACCTCCCTTGGGCTGGGCCAGCTGGTGGTCGGCCTGCTCCGTCTCTGCCGCTTGCCAGCTACACCTCGGCCAACGCAGGGGCGGAACCAAGCATGCACGGCGCTCCCGGGCAGGGAAAGTCCTCGACTTATGACCGGTTTAGTCCTCGACTTACGACCGGTTTAGTCCTCGACTTACGACCGGTTGGGGTCGCGGCATTAAAAAGGTTGAGAACCACTGCTTTAGGGGATGGTGCTCATCTCCATTTCAAGGCCATTGAGCCAATGCAGTCCGAAGACATTTCCATGGTCATGTGGCCAGCATGACATTACAGAGGCCGCTACCTTCCCGCCAAAGTGGTACCTATTCATCTACTTGCATTTGCATGCTTTTGAACTGCTAGATTGGCAGGAGCTGGAGCGAGGACAGGAGTTGACCCCATCATGTGGCACTCAGGTCTTGAACTCAGGCTGCTGGCTTTCCAGCAGACAAGCCCAGCATCTTAAACCAATGAGCCACCGCACTACCCCATTCTTTGGAATGCCGAGTATCTATTGCATTGCATCTGCATATGCGGTTCTTGTAAAATAAGGATAACTTTAAGGAATGGATGCCTAAACATGCTTCTTTCCTGTTCCGTCCACATCGTTTTTTCTCTGTCACGATTTCTGAGTCACAAGCAGGGCTAGCACAGTCCTGAGCTTTAAATTGCTTTGAGAGACCTTCAAGCTATAGAGCAGAATCAAAATGCTTTCAATAAAATAACAGTTAATTGTGATCCTCTCATGAGTCATCCAAGAATCTGAGACAGAGAGAGCTGGAAATATTTACAGGATATTTACTGAGAAATTTAAATGAAAGAACAATGTGTAATTGAACATGTATTGGAAGACAAAGAGATATTCATGAGAAAAGAAAATTAAGAAATATGAAAATAGCCGAAAGGAATACAATTTGTACATATTGTATTTCTTGCCATATCTTTGTGGCCTCGGAGAGACTGAAAACTTTTTAATTAAGATCCTGTCCTTCCAATGTTTCACTATAGCATCAGATTTATGCACAACAGGGGCCTGGTGTCATTCTCCATAGTTATGTCACATGCAAGGGCCCGGCTGAGGCTTTCTTGTGTCGATGTGGGTGTTGTGGTAGTACAACTTCTTTATCAGACCCACAAATGAGCCTTCAGAGACCTGCACCAGCTTCCCATTTACACAGTGGGGTGGCAGCTTCACTCCCAAGTCTGTTTTCAAGGAAGAGCTTGATTCCAAATGCCTGAATTTCCTTAATTCTCTGAGGGTCAACGCAATGGAGATATTTCTTGTTCAACATCCCACCCAATCATTACAAAGGTGCATTTTTCTCTAAAATCTTCCCTCCATCTCCCAATTTGCCAAGCTGTGTGGGGAACATTGGCCTTTCAGGCTTAGTGGGTTGAATAGAATGGGAAATGGATGGAAAGATTTGACTAAAGGTCATATCCTTGAAGATGCATATCCTACGGCATTAAATAAAAACAAAACCCCAAAGTTTTCTTCATCTGTGGTCTCTAGTTGCTATGTCTGAGTAAATTGTGCCTTGATTTGGCTTTCTATGCACTAAAGAAGCCAAGTCTCAGTTGGAGGAATTGGAAGATGTTTTATTTCCCATCAGCAAGCCAAGATTTTGCTGCTTGCTTTCCAGGGGCCACACTCCTGCTCTTTTGTGGTCTAGTATATCCAAGCACAACTTACAGGCCAGGGTAATCTCTAAATGAACTTGCCCAGTTTTGTGACTGTACAGTGTTAAGATATTTACTGAATTGGCTCAAATCTAAATAAAAGTACTCAGACTGAAGACATATAGAAAAATAAGTGTTGGTGTCCGCAGCAGGCATTCTTTATAATGAACAAATTATTAGTACAACTAGGGCAGTGATGGCGAACCTTTTAGAGACCGAGTGCCCCAAAACTGGCCCCGCCCCTGCCCTGCCCCTGCCTCACCCCCTGCCCCACCCCACTCCAGTATACGCCCCACCCTGCTTGCCCGCAGGGCCACTCACCACCTCCAGGGCCTGCCACAGATCGCCCAGGCAGCCCAGCAGCGCCATGGCGGCCACGCCCTCTGCCCGTGCGCCACAGCATCAACTGTGCGCATTGTGGCATGAGGGCAGAGTCTTGTCTACGCTGCCTGGCTGCCATATCTTTAGCTGCGCTGCTCCGTGTGGGCCATGCTTGGGGGCGACTCTCCTCCAGAGGGGAGGCTGGTGAGGAGGGGGTCACGGGCGGAGGCAAGGCTGGGGCAATGGCACGTGTGCCCACAGAGAGGGCTCCGAGTGCCGCCTCTGGCACCTGTGCCATACGTTCGCCACCACTGAACTAGGGCTTTAGTTTATTGCAAAGAAGAAAGGTAAATTCTGAATATGTTCAGCAGATGCAAAAAAGGATCTCATAGAAGTAGTTGGTTTCCAGCAAGGATTCACTAATAACCATCAGGGAAGAAGAGTTTAGATCTTTAGATATTCTAGGAAGGCAAAATGTCTGGCCAGTTGGCTAATCTCTGGGAAGTGCTTGCCTGGTTGCCTATTTAAAAAATTGGAAAGGGACATAGAAAGGAGATTTAAAATCCTGGAAACTAATCAAGATATTAGGTTTACTTCCTATGGGATTCCATTTCTTCCAAAGCTCTCAGCTGAGACTGGGGATGTTCTGGAAACATTAATAGGAGCAGTGGGGATTGCTGATGGATGATGTCTTTATCTTCCAACACAAACTTTGTGCAGCCTGAAGTTTTTAACAATTGTCAACCTTATACTCACAGATGTACTTCTCTCTCACACAAATTTATAAAGAGCATATCTTGAAAAATGCATAGCTGTAATAAAGGTTGAGAGGAAAATAAAAACTAATGATAAAATAAGTCCTTTCCTAGTGAATATTCATCAGCGAGGAGAATTACAACACACGTAAGAGTGATTGTAGCCAGATCTAAATTAAATTATTTTTTGCATACTGCTCTGTGTAGCAATTCTTTATTCAATACCCATTTGATTGCATATTATGTTTTCATTTTAGCTTCTCAGTAAAGTTAATTTATACTTCTTTGTCTGTCAGATTCACAGTTTTCCAATAAGCTCCTCATGGAGGAACTGAGATTAGTTTTGGATCTTTTCCAAGATACAATTCACAGAAAACTTTTGGTTCAACATTATAAATTGCTGTAACATGAGCTACATCCCACTCAACTTTTCTTCTAGTATAAATTGTACTCATTGAGAAGGAGAAAGGGAGGAGGAAGGTGGAAGTAACAGGCATTTGGAGTAAGTTCTTTTTGCCTATTTTATATATATTAGCATCCAGTTGTCAACCAGAGATATCAAGCAGTCTGCATGGAGGCCACAACACCTTGGAGGGAGCATAATTCACTGTGTGTTCACTGCTAGGATTTTGTTCTGAAATCTGAGAATTAGAAAAATACTGCATTCATAAATATGGGCAAAGAATGTTGAATGGATGCATTAAACTCACTGGTGCAAATTCAGATTCGCAGATCAGATATGGCATGGCCAATAATCAGATATGGCATGGCAGTTATAGTTCAGCAATATGGTGGAAACCACAGATTCCCCATTCTTGCTGTATAATGTTGGAGCATCTTTTAACAATGGAGGGAAGTCTATTAGCACATTTTTGCTTTAAAAAAACCACGTTGGGCAAATCTGTCTAATTCACTCAGGCATCAGAGACCCCAGATTCTTTGCCCATTCACAGTGTATCTCTTCAGCTCCCAAGGTACATATCTCTCCAGTGCCAGAAGTTCAGTGCTTCCAGACTATCCTGGCTGGGATGCCACTCCTTCTAGAGTGCCAAGTATCCACGTCTGATGCCTCTGTCCAGTGGCTCAAAGATGGAGATCCTGTGCTGATGGATGAAAATAGTCTCATTGTCAAATCAGAGGGCTGCCTTAGGAGGCTTTTGATTCATTCAGCCTGCCCCCTGGACTCAGGAACCTACACATGTTGCACAGCTGATGAGAGAGTGGACTTCACTGTGACTGTGGAAGGTGAGTGGAGACAAAGAAATGAAATAATATGCATGAATAAAAGAATAGCTCTGATACTCCCAAGTGAAGAGGCAGCATCTTGGATTACTGCTGAGTCTCTTCTGCCCATCACCAACTTAGGTCCTGGACTAAATTTTTCTCCTTAGTATTGGTCTCACATCTGTTTCTTCTGTTGTTCCGTTACCTTCTCACCATTTTATTGCAATTGATCCCTAAAGATTATTTCTGTTTATTGCTAGACTGCATTACACCAAATTTTGTCAAGCAATCATCAGAATCTCTGCTTTTCACTTATACCTAGCATATGTGGGATGCAGTGGGGACTGATTCACCCTCTCCTTGTTATATCAGAATTAGTTAATTTTTTTTGAATGGTAACATTTCCTCCTAAACTCCACTAGCCTAGCTCATTTGGGAAATGTGATATTCTATGCTGTCATGGACTTTCCTTTTGCAGAGGTGCCTGTTCGTGTTGTTCAGTCCACTGCAGATGCAAGTCACATCTACCAGGCCTCAGAGCGTGTGGTGCTATCTTGTGAACTGTCTTGCCCAGATGTTGCAGTTTGCTGGTATAAAGATGGGAAGGAGGTGGTGGAAAACAATGGTTTCTTGCTGGAAAATGAAGGATTCCATCATTGTCTGGTCATCCCTGCTGCCCAGAAACACGATACAGGACAGTATATGTGTGATGCTGCTGGAAATTCCATATTTTTCAATGTTACCATCACCGGTGAGGAATTCTTTGGGAATTTATCCTACTACATATATTTTGTATTCAAATAAATAGCACCAACCCCTTTTGACTTTGCAATTGTGGGCTGTTTCCTCTTTATACTTCCAGAAGGTGCTCATATCTTGATGAGAGGAAGCCACATCTGAAAATTTTGATTCCAGCATTTTTGGTTGTTTTTTTGTTTTCCAGAATAATGTTAATTGGAGTTCCTTCAAATAGGAAATGGGAAAGGACAATCCTGTCCTTAAGTGTGGGATCTTGATGGCAGTTTGGACTGAAATTGGAAGGAAGTAAATGCCATAATCATCATTAAACACAATGATATATATTTAAATCCAGATACTGTGGGAACTATTTCTTTTAAAGAAAAGTGCAGCAAGGGAAGGCAATTATTAGTTGAGAAGCAATGGTTGGAATGTTCTTAGTGCTTCCTCCATGTTTCATTTTTCTGCTGACATTCTGCACCCCATCAACACATTCCCTTGCACTGTTCCTAAAATCTAGCAAGAGGCGAAGTGTATAGTGCTAGATAGTGACAATATAAATAATAAAATAATAAATTGGGAGGGGCATTTCTCTAAGTACATCTCTCCCAAAAGTTGCCCCTCTTCATTTATTATTTTGAGTTAAACTAAATTTATATTATCGCGCATCTTGCAAAAGGAACTCCGATATGAATTGCTTAAATGCATGTATGTATGGTTTGCTCTTCGGCACAGCAAGGTGACCTCCTATATATTCATGCAGTATGTTTGTCTACCAGAGCCTCTGGTGCAGATTTTGCAGCCAGCTGAACGTTCACTGGAGAAGCAGGTGCAGGAATTTGACTGCCTAGAGTTGAACTGCATAGTGTCCATTCCTGATGCCCCGGTGCGTTGGTTCAAAGATGGCCTGGAGGTGGATGAGACACACAACCTGTTGCTTCAGGCAGAAGGTGCAGAACGTCGCCTGGTGATCTTGAGGACAAGTGTGGAAGATGCTGGGGAATACATCTGTGAGACCAAGGATGAATCTGTTTCCTTTGATGTCACGGTTTCAGGTGAGCTCTCTGGCCCTGATTCTGCAATTCTTAAATTAATAAATAATCCAAAACCTAACCTGACCCAGCACTATAAATTATAAAACCATCAAATCTGCAAAAGCCTACCTTAATTTAGCTAATCTATAAATGCACTCTTTGTGTCCTCCCACTCCTGAATCTGGGTCTGTACTTGTGCTTCTACATTTACCCCAATATGGAATGTCTTTTCACAGCTATAGCAATGCCCATAAACTCCTGCAAATTGTATTAACAACAGGACTGAGCTTAGTGTTACTAAAATTATGGAGTTTCCCCTGCTCTTTTTTTTTAAAAAAAACTTTCTTTCTGGTTACATGCAATCAAATATATTATAAATATTATTCCATTCGTTTCCAAACCTTGCCTTTTATCACTTATGATGGGGAGGTGGAGGAGAATAAGGAAAATTGAATGCAAGGAAAGATTAATTGAGATCAGACACATACAGCAACTGTGACAGCCAAGTATGAAGGTAACTTATATAATTGGACATTTGGGCCTTATTGAATTTTGCTAATAATGCATCTCTCTCTCCTTAACTTAAATTTATTATTTGGCTGCACAAGTAATAATAGGTTTTGGGATAAATGCTGCAAGTATAATACTGACTACATCTATGTCATGTGATGGGAATTTATTTTCTAGGGTGGCCAATCAGATATCCTAAGAAAGCCACACAGCAAGACATGAAAGCGGCAGTAACTAATTGCTGCCCAGATTCTATAGTTTCTGGTGTCGGAAATGGGGTATAATGAACAACTTCCTTCTTGAATTGATTAATTAAGCCTTCTGAATTAGGACTGGTCACTACATTTCATGGAAAATAATTCTGTAGCATAACCAGGCAGGTATAAAGAAATGCTTCATTCTGTCATTCTGAATAGTCTTCTCTTCAGCTTCATTAGATGATTCTGTGATCCAATAGTGACAGAGACTTATCTACCTTCCCCACACCATGCATAAATTTTACAAATTTTATCATGCTTTCCTTCCTTGCTTTTTGCCTAAAATAATAAAAATAATGAAGATATCAAAGTTAGAATCTTTTCTGCCTAAACAGATAAGCAAAATTGCTGTGAAAATAAATCTTGCTGCTATAAAAAGCAAGTGCAGAAAAGATTGCTATTAAATGTATGCATGTATTGCATATATTTACAGTGTAATTGATTTGTTCTGAAATTGGCCACTGGAGAGCCAACTATTCTTGGAGAATCCCTATTGACTAAAATTTCTTTAAATTTTTAAAACAGTACTGAGTCACTCGGGTTTGCTATGTAATATATGAGATTTTGCTTGTTGAAGAAGCTTTGACTAAAGCATAGGGCTGGAATGCTTTGCTGAATGCTTGCCCAAAAATAATAGTAAATGCAGAATCTTGAAGTTGCTTGGTAAATAGCAACATTTTGGATACAGTAGTATTTATCTTCACTATTATATAGAATGGGCAACATATATAGAATTAGCAGGTGGATCAGAGAAAAAAGCTTGTGTATAAACTGCTAAATGTGAAGATGCAGCATAAACATCTAATGTCATACCTGGTTTTATGAATAGAGCTGCAGGGAAAGGATTGCAAAATAGTGCTTTAAGATAACAGAAGCTGTTTAAAATGGGATTTTAATTATTAGTAGCAAGCCAGGATGACCTAATTTTGGGAAATTGAGCCAAACTACACACATAGAATTATTGGCTAGAGTGGGGAATAAAATACCTTGGAAGAGGAGATATTTCAACTTGAGGGCATTTTTATTTTTTACATAGGATACATAGGACACTTCATATATAAATATACACAGAAAGCACACAAACAGAGCAGCTGCAGTTAATCGCAGCAGAAAGAAGGAACCTTTAAAAATTCCCTTCCCCTTCTTCAGAAATTCTCCTCTTGCTAATTTCCTCTCTATAGAGAAAAATACCAAGATAGAGTGGAATCCTTGAAACACTTACGGCAACACCATTTTAGGTGGAAGGGAGGATCAATTTTCAGAGTGTTTTTTTCCGAAAGACAGAAATAACATCTATTATCTTCCAAGCTGAGAGCAAAATGGAAAAGGGAATGGTCACAATTTACCTATAAAAAAGATGGATCCCAAGTATCTCCAAGGCTTCTCCTCTCTCTTCCCAAAATTCAAGGTTTTCCTGCTGCAAAGGTATTCTCTGACCTATAAACGTTTGCGGTTTTGCCCAGCAACAGCAATGTTGCCTGTGGCCTCTTCAAACCTGGGCTACCTGCCCTCTCCTTCCAGAGCCCCCTGTGAAGATCTTGCAGCCGCGCAGGACTCCCTCTGTCCTGAGGGCCTCAACGGGGGAGACGGTGACTCTGGCCTGTGTGCTCTCCCATGGGAATGCGCCTGTCCACTGGGTTAAGGACGGTGTCACAATAGAGGCCAACAGCGGCCTCATCCTGGAGGAAGAGGGTGCCCGGCGGTGTTTGGCCATCCCTGCAGCTGGCCCAGAGCATTCTGGGAAATACATCTGCCACACTGTTGATGATACCATGACCTTCACCGTCCAGGTGTCTGGTGAGTGCAGCATTCAGGGAAGCTGATAGTGCTAGGGAAAGGAGCTGAGAGCATACTACCGGGGGTGGGTGGTTGTTGGGAGAATTTGTCTAACACGGGTTGAATTATTTAGATGTACTATTCTGTGTTGGTTCTTAGCCTCTTTTCTCGATGAGTAGATATTCCAAAGCATCACTATACAGATCTTGAGCAAAATTGCCCCAGAGCTTCTGAAAAGCAAGGGTCTATCCAATCTCTAGAGTTGGCATACTGGACATAAATATAATTTATCTTCTAATTCAAAGAAAGTGTTCTTTGACATGCAGGAGAGGCAGAAAGCATTACCTCTGACCCCTAATTGTCCAAACAAGCTAATATTTCTAGGTCTGCAATTGTTTGGTGACAGACTGTATAATGAGGATTGGTATGAACACCATTCGTGAAGCCATCTTGCTGCAGGCATTTCAGTGGCCCTCAATATTGACTTCCGTTAGCCAGGAGAGGATTATTGGCTATTCTGTTTGCATTCCCTTTGTGTTTTCTGTGTGTGTCATTACAGTGTGTTCTACCACTTTTATGTGCATCATGAATTAACAAGCAACCTTTGCCTTTTTGTGCATACCATACCGCCAGGCTAATGCGGCATATGTAAGATGCTAGCAAACGGAGAGTGTACAGGGCAGCAAAGTCTGTCAGAGTGTGACAGCACAGCAAAATTGCATTAAGGGCTTTTCCCTTAGCTTGGCTGAATGAAATATTGACTAGGAGCTGGGAAATGTTAAAGGCAGCCTCTTTAATGGCCATACACATAGGGTGAACTTGCTGGAAAACAAATTTTATCTGTCTCCGAAATGAGGAAGAAAGAGAACGCAAATAGATTTTCCAAAACTGGTGAGGGTGGAGATTTTAGAAATTTGCATTGCATCAATGCTGGTTTGTGGACAACGTAGTGATATTAATGGGGGAGGCTGAGGTCCAAGGAGCAAGGAAAAAGCAGCATCTGGAAATGCTTTATGTTTTCAAAAATACACAGTTTATAAAAGTATGGTTGGACCAGATAAAAACTTTCCGAGGTCCTTAGCCAAGAGTGTGGCAGATGGAAGGAATCTGAACTTTCCCATGGCCAGACATCATTATATTGAGAATAGGAGGAAATTTAACCCATTTTCTAATCTGCAAAGTGCATCTCATTCACTTGCAAATTCTGGTTTTAGGATTCTTGTAGGCTTTTTATGGTACATATGGCTCTCTGTGTTTAACGCTTAGTTCAACTTTGTCTGGTAGATGCAAGTGATGAGAGGTGGCTTTAACTGTTAAAGTACAGAGCTTTATCGTACATTCCTTTGAAATTAAATTTTTAGTTTGATAAACTTTCTAGGAATTCTGAGGATAGCATAGTCACATGTGGTCTACTCTCCCTTCTGATTAAAATCCATCCTTTTAATGTAGTATTGTATATTTATTAAATGCCATTATTGGTACTTGGACAGCTGGCATCAGATTGCTATTTTCCTACACAATGTCACACAACTGACGTTTTCCTGCCTCTTGGCTGCTTCTGAGGAATCTTTGGCTAAAGAAAGAGCTGGGATACCCAAAGAGCTGGCTGAGTGAAATAAATACATTTTCCGGCGATTTCTTTTACTTGAGCATGCCTATGCTTTCTTGAGAGAGAAAATTGGATTTCCTCCCCTGTGTACAGTTTTACTTAGAGAAAATATTATTAATAGTATAGTTGTTCTTTTTTTTTTAAATGGAGATCTTTGATAAAAGCTCCTGTATTTTTAAACTGGGGTATGTACAGCATTGATTCAGAGTTTCTGCAGAATGTAGCTTTTGGTGTCAAAAATCTTTTGTAGGTCAGAGCCTGCCCTACAATTGGGCTAAGTAAGAAGGTTTTCTTGAGCAGTGCAATTTAATTGTTATGAAAGCACAGCTGGTCTACTTACTGTTGTATTAGTTTGGGTTCTTAGACACAGTGCTAGAGTAATTTAACCAACTTTGTTTTGTACACACCTTGATTTGAGAGGCTGGCATGAGCAATATTCTTCTTTAGATAGCAAAACATCTGGGATTAATCTGTTTCATTTCCGTTCATCGCTTTAAATAGCAGCATATAAGAAGCATATAAGAAGTGTAATGGAAAATACTTTGAGAAAGTGATCCTTATTGCAAGAGAATGACCTCTGTTGCTTTGGCTCAGTTGGAACTTTATCTGGCATAGCAGCTGTATGTAAGAATGTCCTAGCTGGGTAATTAAGAGAAGAAGAAAAAACCTACAACACATTTTTCAAATAAGCTTTGAGCAAAAATATGGAGAGGTATCTTAATTTCCTATTGGAGGAAAGAGGTTAGCTCCTACAGGAGCTGAATGAATTTAATCCCAGTGGGTCCTTGATAAAAGCCATCAGTGAATTGCTGTAGGTTTTTTTGTCCTGTAGATGGAGCTGCCTTTATGGCAGGCTAGGCAGTTGATGTGCATTTAATGTATTCAGTGCGTAAGTGATGATGGAGGCCAGGAGATAGGAGATATTGTTTGGTTCTGATTTTGCTTTTCGTTGTTTGAGAGGAGGCAGGAAATAAAGTACAGTACAAAGTACAAAAGGCTTTCTTCCTTAATCCACCATCTACACAAAGATTGTATAACTTGCGTGATATCTGTGTTGCTTTGGAGAAATGCTTGCTTTCATAAACATTTGCTATGGACATTTGGGACTTGAAGACCTTTTCTCTACTACAAGAGGCATTTGTAGAAAAGGCAGGGAAACAAAGGAAATCTGCAGACTCGGGGATGAAGTATCCTTCAGCATTTTGTTCTCATGAGACAAGTGAATGTTCTGGGATGCTTAATGTTGCAGACCTGCTGAAAGTCTATGAGGACCTTTGAATGGGAAATTACTAGGGAGCATCTAATAAAAGGGAGATGCTCAATTTAAAGAGCTCTTCAGTTGGATTTACAGGGAGTCCTTGACATACAGCCATTTATTTAGCATCCACTCAAAGTTACTAGAGCATTGAAAAAAGTATCTTACAACTGGTTCTCACACTTACATCCTCACAGCATCCCTACAGCAGGGATGGGCAATTAATTTTCTCAAGAGGCCACATATGAAACTGGGACTGTTGTAGAAGGCCAAATCAATAGGGCTGTGAAGGTGCGTGAGCCCGCACACAGATACACATTCAAAATAAAATCAATGCAGTTGTATTGTGTGCATGGCATACACTCATTTACATTTGATTCCTAATTTCTGATGGACCTCATGCGGGCCGGACAGGGACAACCAAAGGCCTGGATGTGGCCCAGGGGCCGTAAAATGCCCAGGTCTGCTCTTCGGTTACATGAACAAAATTTGGATGCTTGGCAACCAGTAATCCTGTCAACGTCACAAGACCCTAGTACACTTCGTTTCTATTACCCCTTCCGTCTGAGTAAAAAAAACTGACACACTAAGTGAATTGTCTCTCCAGTATTTTAGTCCACACTAATTGGTTGATCGAATCGTTGTCTTTAAGACCGGAGTAAACACCAGTTCCTGATGGATATATTGTCCTTTCACTTTCGATATACCGTAGGACACTCACTGTCTTATAGATACCTTTCTCTTGCTAGCTTTTCTGTATGAACTATGATGTGATGTTGGAAAAACAGAGGAAGGGTGGTCCCAAATCACTGAAGCTTTACAAATGACAATGCCCACTGTTTTATTTATGTTTAAGGTACTAATGTCCAATTGACTTCAGCAGGGCTGTCTACATGCCTGTTGATTCCAGAGGACAATCTTATGACATACTCTTGTTAGAAAATATTGATTAATCCTTGTTATATTTCTTCCCCAAGCTCAGGAAGCTCTTAGTGCAGTGGTGGCGAACATATGGTACAGGTGCCAGAGGCGGCACTCGGAGCCCTCTTTGTGGGCACATGTGCCATTGCCCCAGCCTTGCCTCCGCCCGCGACCCCCTCCTCACCAGCAGCCCCCCTGGAGGAGAGTCGCACCTGAGCATGGCCCACCCAGAGCAGCGCAGCCAAGGACATGGCAGCCAGGCAGCGTAGACAAGACTCTGCCCTCACACCCCAGCGTGCACAGTTGATGCTGCGGGGCGCGGGCAGAGGGCGTGGCCATGGTGCTACTGGGCTGCCTGGGTGATCTGCGGCGGGCCCTGGAGGCGGTGAGTGGCCCTGCGGGCAGGCAGGGTTGGGCAGAGTGGGGGTGGGGCAGGGGATGGAGCAGGGGCAGAGGCCGGCAGGGGGTGGAGCAGGGGCGGGGCCAGTTTTGGGGCACTCAATCTCTAAACGGTTTGCCATCACTGCCTTAGTGTTTCTCTGGGAAATGAAGGCTGGTTCTAAAACTGGCTGACAATGGTGAGAAATGTAATCTAACACAACTGAAGGATAATAATAGGAGAAATCTAATCCAGGTTCTCCAAGCAACATGTTCTCTCAGGTCAAGGTCAAGATCAAGTCTACCTTCAACTACGCCAGTGGGTTTGTTTTTAGAGTTGATCTCTTAAGTCGGATATCCCTTCGAGATTAAATCCTCAGGATAAACTCCTCACACCATTCCAATTTCTCTTAAATTGTGCACCACTTAGGAAACGTTTTATGTAAAATAAGTGAGGATTAAGATAGGAGGATTGCTATTGGGTTAATCACAATAGCGTCCCCTTCATTAAGATAGCACTTAAAATTAGAACAGGTGCAGAAACTTAACTAACATTGTTTGTACTGGCAGATCCTCCAGTTCAAATAGTGGGACGAGATGAGCTGCAAACTCACCACCATTGCTTGGTTTCTGAAGACCTGGTGCTCTCCCTAACACTGTCTTGCTCCAAAGGAGAGCTGAAGTGGTACAAGGATGGGGAAAAACTGCAGGACACAGAACGTTTGTGGTTGGAACAAGATGGAGCACGACATTCATTGGTGATTTCAGCCGTGGAAATCTCTGATGCTGGGGAGTATCTGTGTGACAGTGGTGATGATAGCCTCATCTTCCATGTCATGGTGGAAGGTAATGTCTGAGTGTACGGGGTGGAAGGGAAGGCCACTTACGGACAAGTTCCTTTTATGAACACATTGCCTTGTTTATAAAGCAAGAATGTCAAATGTAACATGGAAAGACCATTATCTTCCAGCTTCCAGATTAGTTCAACACTATTTCAGTAATCCATATTCAGTACAAGAAATAAACAATCCAGTAAAAACCTGTTCTTCCACTTACATTTGAAGAAGGTCAGCTTATTCACAGTCACTAGCTTTGTCTCTTCTTTTTGGTAACAATAGTTGTGGCTGCTATTTTATGAATGGAATCTTAGAGGGTTCCTCATGATTCATAACCCAGAGATTGCATGTTTTGGCTACTTAAAGTCAATATGATTTAATATCTTCTCATAACCATGCCTGTACATTTGATTTATTTATTTATAAATTGCTTATACTGCTTCAATTTAAGGAGACTTTTAAGAGGTAATTAGTCTTTACACAGTTGCATTTCCAGCACCTTCTGAAATCCCACTAATAAAACACAGTGTTATCATTCAATGCAGAGCTTAAGATGGGCTTTGATTCTGCTGTTATTTATAGTAATTACTAGGCTATAGGGAGTTGGTTGTTTATAAAAGAAAGTTAAAATTTAGCATCAGGAAATGCTGGGTATTACTGAGGTACATCAAGTTCAGTAACTACACAACACCTTGCTTATTTAATATAAAGCCTTCCACTTTTATTTGTTGTGGGAAAAGGTAACACACTTTATATAGGACATGGCTGTGGAGGTTGACTTGCCACGAGGGCAATATTGCCTCCTGCATTAGAGATGGTTGTGTCCTTTGCACAACAGTTCCCCTTTTCTCTGAAGTGACACCTAGGGCAGTGTTTCTCAACCTGTGGGTCGGGACCCCATTTGGGGTCGATCGACCATTTCATGGGGGTCGCCAAGCAAGGCTGTCCGCCATTTTTTTTGTCCNCCATTTTTTCCCCTTTTCCAGCGGGTGCCTTACCTCCCTTGGGCTGGGCCAGCTGGTGGTCGGCCTGCTCCGTCTCTGCCGCTTGCCAGCTACGCCTCGGCCGGCGCAGGGGGCGGAACCACGCATGTGCGGCGCTCCTGGGCAGGGAAAGTCCTCGACTTACGACCGGTTGGGTAGTCCTTGACTTACGACCGGTTTAGTCCTCGACTTATGACCGGTTTAGTCCTCGACTTACGACCGGTTGGGGGTCACGGCATTAAAAAGGTTGAGAACCACTGACCTAGGGGAATGTCTTCCTGCCATGAAGCTTCTTTTGGGGTGTGTGTGTCCATTTAAAAGACTCCGATGCTAAATCTTGGGTTTAGCTTGGGTGGGGAACTAAGGCAAGCAAGCTACATATTTTTTAGATCCTGAAATAAATGACTTTCAAGAGCACGTCCATTTGTCTGGTCAGCTACAGGACACTGATACTTTGTGAAGACTGGCAGGAGGCAGCTTGTGCCATTCAGCTGGCTGCCAAATGCTGTCTGGGCCCTGTTTTATGACACTGTTTTCTTTTTCTTGGTTTCCAAGAGCCTCCCATCTCCATCGTGGGAAATGCAGGGATGCCAGAGCATCGCTCCTTGGCAACTGGAGAAGATTTAATCTTGACTTGCGAGACGTCTTCACCTACAGCTGCTGTGCGATGGCTCCAGAATGGCAAGGAGCTAGGAGCGGGCAAGCGCATTCACATAGAGGCCAGTGGAAGGCACCAGCAACTCATCATCCGTAGTGTCACCTCAGGGGATTCAGGCTCTTATGTGTGTGATGCAGGCACAGACCAGAGGGTGACTGCCGTAGAAGTAGCAGGTGAGAGCAGTTCAAGAGGAACAAAATGAAACACCAGGGAGAGGGTGGAAAGCACAGGGAGGCACAAAAATGTAGTTTATGAGGGACAAGCTGGTGTAGAGCAATGGCTAAGTCTGAGAGGTTGAGCAAGAAGTTCTTGGTTCAATAGTCTCCTCATTTCAGAATTTATAAAGTGTCATAGAGAAGCCATTTTACACCGCTGTCCCATGTGCTGCACTGGCTGCCAGTTTGATTCTGGATGCAATTCAAAGTGTTGGTTATTATCTATAAAGCCCTGCATGGCATGGGTCCAAGTTACTTGAGGAACAGTCTTAGCCCAATGGGACAGGACCACCCCTGGCAGAGGAAGCATGCTGCGGACCCCATTGGTCAAGGAATTCTGACTGGTGGAGTCCAATAGAAAAGCCTTCTCTGCCACGGTTCCTACCTTTTAGAACAGCAGTCCCCAATCTTTCCAGTTTGGTGGATCAGCAGAGGTGACGGTGGCAGGGGAGGGATAGAGGGGATAGTTTTGTGCGTGCGCGCCACTTTAACAAATACAGCTTTCTACACATGCTCGCCCACCATTTCCATGACCTGGGCTCCAAATGGGTTACAGCCTGGCACTGGTTCACAAACCAGGGGTTGGGGTCCCCTGCTTTAGAACATCTTGCCTCTTGGGGTGAAATCTATCCCCCTCCCCCAATCTTCCCTAATGATCTGAAGACCTGGCTCTGCCAGTTGGCCTGGGGTCCAAATGGGAAGGTATCACGCTGGAGGTGGCTGATGCCCACATTACTGCCCACATTCCCTCCCACACACACATTCTGCTCCCTCCTCTCCCACCTTTTAATCATAATTTGTATTTTTATTGTTATTAAAAGCTATGCATTTATGATTTTACTGCTTTAACATTGTCAGCCACCCAGAATCACCTTGTAGCAAGATGGGCAATAAACAAATTTAATTAATTAATTAATTAATTAATCTTTCATCATCAACCCTGCTGACAGTAGTAGGGCAATAATAGCTACATGATGGCTGATACAGATGACTGACAAAGTATAGGTTAGTCCTCAACTTACAACATTAGTTTAATGACCATTTACAGTTATGATGATGCTGAAAAAGTGGCTTACACTGGTCCTCACTGTCCCTACAATCCCTTGATCAAAATTTGGGTGCTTGGCAACCAGCATCTATTTGCAATGATTGCAGTGCCCCAGGGTCATGTGATCGCCATTGGCAGCCTTCCCAGGGGGCTTCTAAGAAGCAAAGTCAATAGGGGGAAGCTGGACTTGCTAAATGACCAGGGTAAAAAAGGTCATAAAATCAAGACACAATTCACTTAATGACTGCATCACTTACACATGGAAGTTTTGTTCCCAATTGTGGTTGTTAATGAAGGACTACCTGTACGTATCTATTTATCCCCTAAACTATGGTTCAAAGATATTTGTTAATTTTTCTTCATGTCCTCATGAGGCTGTCCTTGTCTCTTCTCTTTCCCATAGCTAAGGTGTCTAAACCATGTTTAGTTGATCTGATGTTAGGATTGTGCTTCCCATTGTCTCCTATCAAGAGACTTGCTATACGCTGACTCTGTAAATCACTTAGAGAGGGCTGTAAAGCACTATGAAGCGGTAGATAAGTCTAAGTCAGGGGTCTTCAAGCTTGGCCCTTTTATGACTTGTGGACTTCAACTCCCAGAATTCCTCAGCCAGGCACGCTGGCTGAGGAATTCTGGGAGTTGAAGTCCACCAGTCATAAAAGGGCCAGGTTTGAAGACCCCTGGTCTAAGTGCTATTGCTATCAGCATGATTTCTGTCGCTTCAGCAGTAATGGCCTTGGTGAAGCTGCCAGAAGGGGGCTTGGGACCAGCCCTTCACAGAAGTAACTAGGATTAACATTTGATTGATTATGTCATCACGCATATATAATCATTTGCCCACCACCACCACCTTGCCCCCATCACAGACAACCATGTTCTGGTGAAAGAATGGTCCTGTCTCAGAAGCTGCTGAATCCCTTTGTTCAGAATGTTTCTGAATTCCTTTGGAGACTGTGTCTGGGAGGATTTCCCATCTCATCCCAGGCTAGTCCTTTGCCTGCTCTCCGTTGGCTGTAACTTGGACAGATTTTTAGACCTAGAAAGAAATTGTGGGGGAAGCACCAGGACAGATGCTTTGAGGAGAAGCATCAGTCCTTGCCAAAAGATGAGGTTGCAGCAGAGACAAGAAGCATCTTTTAGAATCTAGGTTTAGATTCTTAATTAAAAGCTGTTTGTTTCTGGAGATTATACAGAGAAAAAAGAGTAACAGTGGTGGCCTGCCACTGGTAATGGAGATTTACTCAGTTTCCCCAGAGTAATATGAAGAGGTCTTAAGAAAAAACTGGAAATCTTTGTATTCAGTATTTCCAGTTCTCCTCCTCCTCCTCCTCCTCCTCTTACATAGTATGAAAATAAATATTGCTTATTTTTAGCATATGGCAATAATTAACAGAAGGAACTGCCATTGGTGCTGCTGCCTTCTGGATATGTTGAATTAATATTAAAGTGATTTCAATTCTTTTCCAGAATGGTAATAAAATAAGTGTCCCAAAAAAAAAAGAAGAAGAAGAAGATGTAGCTAATCTCTTTTTATAGTTTCAGAAAGATTTATAATGTATTGTACTTCCTTGGTAGCCCAAATTTGTTTTCCTAATTTCTTTTAGGACAGGGAACATATCCAGCTTTGCTTAACAGGGAACTCTTTTTTTCTCTTAGCCCCCCCTGTGTGCGTTGTGAATAAGGATGATGCCCGGGAGCCTATTGAAGTCCAGGAAGGAGAGAATGTGACACTGGTTGCCCAACTTTCTCAAGAGAAGACTTGTGTCCAGTGGCTCAAGAACAGACAGCCTCTGTGTCCTGGGCCACGAATGATTATGAGCAGTGAGGGGCTGGTCCACAGACTAACCATCCAACAATCTGAGCCATGTGATGGTGGCATGTTTAGCTGCAATACTGGAGATGATGAAGTGCATTACACAATAAATGTACAAGGTAAGAATGCCCATCTTAATTTCAAGCCAGATGCTCTAGTGCAGTGGTTCTCAACCTTTTTAATGCCGCGACCCCCAACTGGTCATAAGTCGAGGACTAAACCGGTCGTAAGTCGAGAACTACCCAACCGGTTGTAAGTCGAGGACTTTCCCTGCCTGGGAGCGCCGCGCATGC